AAATAGTTCTGGTGAACCGTGAGGAATATCACTGTCTGCGACGAAAAATGAGTTACAGTTGTGTCGTTGGTAGTGTAGAAATCTAGCTCACGCCGGCTGCTAGAAATGAAATGCCTTTCAGCCGAGAGACCAAAACATCACAACAAACAGCTGTTTAGATGCAGTCATCCTAACACGAAAATGTAAGTATCTGACGGGGGAGATCTCCGACCACGGAGTTGACCTGATTCGCTTGTACACGTCGCAACGAGATTTCACAATTCGTTGAACCGGCCGACATCATGTTTACCTCCTGCTCCATCAAAATTAAGCCCAATAAGGCCACATCCCACTATTTATAGAGGTGCAACCGACTTGCAGTTGCACATCATCAATTTGGAGCCCAAGGATATGCTTCATCGAATTCTGAAAGCGAGCAGACAATCCTGGATGTTCTGGTGTAAACGGCACATTCCGATGCAATCTGATGTATTCCCAAAATGCCACTGTTGCATTGAGGCTAAGTACAAGGGGACGAATGATTTGTTCTTTTTGCAACAAACTCAAAAAGCGCGAAATTCTCCTCGTGGAATACGAACGTATTTTTCATTCTTCTGAGAGGAAAAATGGAACCAACACTCTCCCCATCTAACCAGCTAAGCTAGTAATCATTATCAAATTTTGCCATTTTTGTCCCACGATAAGCGGCCAGGTTATAAGATTCTCTGCAGCGTCATACTCCCTATAATGTAATCATTTCAACAAATCTCCATAGAACCGACATAATATATTGATATACGAGGGCGGCTGAACCTGTATCCTGTGCAAAGATAGGCACGGCGACGTTTAATTTGCGTGTGAGTTCACCGTAGTAGCACTGTTCCACCTGAGCTCATTGCTAACTGCAAAAGTACAGATGCACTTTTCCAAATGCTTTGTGAGTTCACATAGCTAGACTAGTCGCGTCCATTAAATCTTCCAATTTTTGTTTGATATGTTTGAGAAAATGTAGGATAACAGCCTAAATAGAAGGTAAAACCTTGCGATAATAATAATAATAATAATAATAATAATAATAATAATAATCGTTCAGCTGTAGCGCCCTTTCGGTGCCATGCTGCCATGCCACCCGAAGGAAGCAAGAGGGCTGGGATACTGCCAGGTTGCCCAAGTCTAGGCAGGGGAAGTCACAAAAAATAAACTGGATATAAGACTTTACCTCCTAAATGTGACGACATAAGCCACAATTCACTCCTACCTTGCGATAGGTTATCCACTGTCGCTGGGAAATCACAGAACACCGAAAACGCAGGTGTTATTTTGAAGGCTTTACGGAGTCAAAGTGACTGAATCATGTCGAATACAGATAACCTGTTATTAAAGAGTTTAGTGTGAAACAGGAGGTATGTTTCTAAATGTGTTCGTATGAATCACGTGTATGATGGAGTGTTGTACAGGCCCAATTGCCAGTTAACTTGGTTCGGGACTCAAGACACACAAGACTCTAAGCAACTTTTTTATCAGACCCACTGGGTCATAGTTTCTTCTCCAGAAGGTGGGCACTCATTTACTCGGGTGTTCGATGAAGTTTCGTTTTACAAAAACATCACCGAGTTGACAAGGCCTCTGCAATTTTCCTTTGTTACTGTCTCATCGGTTGCAGTGACGGCAAACTCGCGTTAGTCGTCTTATCGGTACTGGCAATCGTAACAATTCTTCTGAAAATAAGCCACGCGGAACTGCAGTGTACATCTCATCTAGACAAGCGGATCATACACTGTAGTTATAAGCAAATCGCAAGCCAACAAATACTTGAGAAGCAGATCACTCGTTGGCGCTGATATCAGACCCATGCTGTTTTGTTTGCTTCTCTTTTTGGTTAACCACCCTCGGTAAAAGGTACCTTTGAGGATCAACATCCTAAATTGTACCGTGTGGGCCCCATTCGTGTATCTTTTACGGATCTCCACAAAATTTTCGACTCTCAAAATGCTCAACAGTCATCTTAGTTTAACAGAAATGACGTTATCATAGGGGAAACGATTCATAAATAATAATAATAATAATAATAATAATAATCGTTCAGCTGTAGCGCCCTTTCGGTGCCATGCTGCCATGCCACCCGAAGGAAGCAAGAGGGCTGGGATACTGCCAGGTTGCCCAAGTCTAGGCAGGGGAAGTCACAAAAAATAAACTGGATATAAGACTTTACCTCCTAAATGTGACGACATAAGCCACAATTCACTCCTACCTTGCGATAGGTTATCCACTGTCGCTGGGAAATCACAGAACACCGAAAACGCAGGTGTTATTTTGAAGGCTTTACGGAGTCAAAGTGACTGAATCATGTCGAATACAGATAACCTGTTATTAAAGAGTTTAGTGTGAAACAGGAGGTATGTTTCTAAATGTGTTCGTATGAATCACGTGTATGATGGAGTGTTGTACAGGCCCAATTGCCAGTTAACTTGGTTCGGGACTCAAGACACACAAGACTCTAAGCAATTTTTTTATCAGACCCACTGGGTCATAGTTTCTTCTCCAGAAGGTGGGCACTCATTTACTCGGGTGTTCGATGAAGTTTCGTTTTACAAAAACATCACCGAGTTGACAAGGCCTCTGCAATTTTCCTTTGTTACTGTCTCATCGGTTGCAGTGACGGCAAACTCGCGTTAGTCGTCTTATCGGTACTGGCAATCGTAACAATTCTTCTGAAAATAAGCCACGCGGAACTGCAGTGTACATCTCATCTAGACAAGCGGATCATACACTGTAGTTATAAGCAAATCGCAAGCCAACAAATACTTGAGAAGCAGATCACTCGTTGGCGCTGATATCAGACCCATGCTGTTTTGTTTGCTTCTCTTTTTGGTTAACCACCCTCGGTAAAAGGTACCTTTGAGGATCAACATCCTAAATTGTACCGTGTGGGCCCCATTCGTGTATCTTTTACGGATCTCCACAAAATTTTCGACTCTCAAAATGCTCAACAGTCATCTTAGTTTAACAGAAATGACGTTATCATAGGGGAAACGATTCATAAGATTGCCGAAAAATCTCCAATGGCCTACGACCTGTTTCGCTCTTCTTGGGGCTAGCTCATCTGTTAGGCACAGTCTCCGAGTTTTCGTAATCCTTCTGTTCTACTTGAGCCCAGAGTGGACAGGTTTTGACAAGTACACTCACTGGCATACCATTTTGGTTTTCACGGGAGACCCAAGTGAATCTATCGGTTATAATATTCTTCATCTGATTGTATTGCACCATTAGTGCCGCATTTTTCAGCCAGGAAGAACTATTAGCATGGTTTCATCGGCAGCCTGGAGCTTGCTTATTTCGCTATGAAGCATAAAAGCCCAGGTTACACTCGTTTTAACCAAGTTAGACAAACGATTGTCAGTCAACAGTTAAATTCTATTCACGAACTTCATTCGCAAACCGGTTTGGTGTTAACGGGAGACTAAACTAGAGAGCATCATAAACGCGAGATATAACTGGGATTCAGTTGAGTCTCCCATTCAAACCAAATTAGTTCACAAATCAGCGTAGTCCGCAAGAGGCAGACAATTTGGGTTCGAAAAGAACATATGCTTGGGGGAAACTTGTGAACTGTGCCAAACTGATCAGCCGTAAGAAAGGTGACATCAACCCTGGGTTGTCGAACAGTCTTGAGCAACTTTATGAACAGTGTATTACATCTTCAGGAGTCCGTAAACCACTTCCACGGTGCCTCCGATTGCTCCTATGAATTGACCGACACTGTAGGCCACAAGAGCATAAAACATGGTAGCTTTTTGAAAGCGTTTGCGTTTGATGTTAGAGACCAGTGGACCATATGCTCATAAATTCCACCGTCCGAATTTGGGGAGCTAATTTACCAATGGTTTGTCAACGGTCCTGAAAGGATGGACCAGAAAACTAGAACGTTATTGCAACAACTGGTTTCCAGCTGACCGAAAATGTTGATTCACTCAAAAACTCTCATGCCACCAGGATCAGCTGCACTGCGTGTGAACTGACCGGTCCAAGAATGCAGATGTCAGATTTGATGCTGCAACCGAGCTCATTCCCGACCGGATTATTAACCAGGGTATATTTTCATCTGTCCTGAGATGGCGTTGGGGTTTCCCCTCTTCTCGCCCAAACTAAATCTCCTACCATCAGTAACAAACACAAAATGAGAAAGACTGGTTAACATTGACCGCAGTGCGTGCCACAGTTGGGCTGGCAAGAATAAACTACATTCGTTCATTAGGGAGGGTCGACAAGTATCTTTTGAGGTGGCTACAACTCGAATGATACTGAAAATTCATTTATTTCTTGGTCACCACAACTTTTAAATTCTCACACGAACTTAGAGAAAAATTATCTCTTGAGTGATTTCAATTTCGATGGTATCCAAATATCCATCTAGTCAGTAGTTGGATGCAACAAAGTGGTCTGCGCTGTGTCTGTGAACACTGCCATAGAAGCGTATAGGCGGGATCAGTTTTTCAAGTGTTGATTGAGGTTATCTTCCGCCTCGTTCAAACAGAAGTAACTTGTAATATGAATTAGTACGGAGTTTTTTAGACGAGTTAGTGTATCAGGCAGTCTGTGTCTAACTCTTGTTGCTGGTGATTCAAACTGGATCTGATGAGATAAATTACGGTCAAGTACTGATTATCAAAAGGTCTGGCTGGTCACTGAAAACCGATTGAGCCGGATTCTCATGTTAATCAAGCTATTTCTATCGTATATCAAGCAAGTCATTGTATTCAGGTTCCATCGGGTGAGACTTGTTGAAGGATGGGGGTTCTTCAAAGAATTCCCAAATGGCCTGATGCCTACAGATCAGTTAATTAGTTCAACGAGGCCTCTTGAAGCGCCTGGCTATAACTGTCTATTGCGGCATTTATTTGACGTTTCTCCTCGCGAGTTTTGAGTAACTGGGGTTCTCTATCTGGAGAAAGTTTCCGTTTTTTTACCAACGCCGACTCTCCAACGGTTCTTCCAAACTGTCTCTCGTTCTCTCTTGACAGGGATGTCTTAACGCAGTCAAAGCATTCTTCAAGAAATACATGCTTATTGCTGCCCTGTGCGTCTTTCTGTTTGCGCTACTTCAAATTCTGAGCCTTGTATTCGCCATCTGTCTACGTCAAGCTCTCAGTCATGTGGAGTTTGACTGAAGCTCGAAATTTTCAAACGAACGCAAACACCCTCGGGATCTCAGAGAATCAGAAAAACTACAATCCACACTTCTACTTCTGCTAACCACTCATTTTGAAAAAGAATAAGTACATTTTGATGGTGCGCTTTTCTGGCTAAAGTGAAACGTTTTTTGAAATTGTGAATAAAATTTTTAAATTACGAAATGTTTCTGGAGTTTTCAATGTTGATGGTTTGACTTCTAAGAGGTTACTGCTTGGCTAGCAGACTACCAAAGTAAGCCTTCCGAAACAGGTCCAATTTTTTGGTTTTTCAGTGAGCTTGGACCTGTACATCGAGTGTGCGTTCGTGGAAACCAAAATTAAATATGGTTTAAGGATTATCATGCTCACTGACAGCAAAGTCTGCGCCTTACACCTGTAATTGGCCATTTAAAAAATTTCGGTCTTATTAAACTTTGGGTAATTCTTACCCAAAGTGAGTTTTGAGACAACACAAATTTCTAACCCACCACAGAGTAACCCATACTTGCCGACAGTTGGTCGATTTGTCGGTTTGGAAGTATCGTTCGAAGGGTAATGAGCTACACATTATCTGGGGTATGTAACGTCCATTTGTAAATTGTGTCGTTCTGATAGCATCTAAAATTCCGAAATTCTCCATAATCCCACTTACATGGTTATAGTTAACTCTGAATATGCATTCTATGGCTGGTTTACCACGATAACCTTCAAGTGCTGTACTTGCTGCGTCCGATGGTTTTGGTGCACACTATTACGCCTACGCATAGTGACTGAGGTATCAGTAAATGGGTGTTTGAAGAATATTAGGACTTTTGCTCATAAATTTGTATTAAACAACAAACAGAGACGTTCTGAAGTCCAAGTACTTTGTGATGTCCTTTTAAACGGTGATGATTTCTCATATTAATAAATAAGGTTCTACCGAATATTCCAATTGGTATGTTCATCATCTTTCAGCAAGAAATATTCAATGGAGATTTGATTCTGTCAGTGAAGCCAGTCTATAATAAAAACCCGCGAAACACCCCACAGCTGTTTCATCTTTTTTGGGGGAAATCCTACGGAATATTACCGAATATCACATCATAAGCAGATTAGAGGATGAATAGTTTCGCTGAAAGTGTGAAACGTCCTTCTGAGAGCTCTCCGTTCAAGGATCCAGTCAGCGCATGACCACATGATGCGGCTTACACTATTGAAGAATAAGTGCTCTGTGTCTTGTTCAAATGCAGCTGGTCACATTCCACAACAAATGAGTGTCCTTTTAAGCGTTTATCGATTTGCGGTGAAGACAGACTACCTAGAGTCAGCCGGTGAAACACATTTGGCGATAGTTCAACAAATCCTACCAAGAATCTGGCAGCTGCGCAAACAGTGAATTGGTTCATAAGTTTCATACTATTTCATACTTTGTACTAGATAGTTTGTGCGCAAAACCATGATTTTCGTGGGGCTAAATTAATCTAAATATTGTGGCGAATGAACTGAGTAACAATCAATTTGCACCCTTGTTCCCATTGGACAATTCTCTTATGCCTGGTTAGTTCCCGATAAATGATATGAGCTAGAATGGGGTTCCACTTATAGGAAGATTATAAGCAGACCATACTGTCGGACACACTTCTGGTTATTTGACGTATGAGGTGAGTATGCTCTCGTTATACCACCAAAATAAGCTGAATATACATGAACTATCACCCATGAACAAGCATACTGATCGGTCGATAAGTATACAATGAAGTGTCTTCTGTGTCTTCTGAATCGATTACGTAGAATGTGGACTAATAAACTCAGAAGAGCAATTGAGGGTGAATGAGACCGTAGTTTCTGAATCCGGTTGTCCTAATTAGGTTAGGTAAAACGCCATTGGGGACGCTGATGTTAGAACTTAAGGGTTTTACTCTCGCTGGAAACGTGTACGTGCATTTCACAACTGGAATGTACTTTCCTGTAGGGAATCGAAAACACACGTTGTCATTCACATTACTCGACTAGTTTGGTGAAGCTTTGCAGCGAATAGGTCACGTTACGCTGCCTGCACTTTGAAGTTATGCATCATAAAGCGCACGAAATCGTGTCCATCACACGCTATAATCGATCATTCTGCTTTAGGTTTCGTTGTGATGCTGCCTCCTGCTGTGCAGCTGAGCTTTGAAGTTTCATCTTGTAAAGCAATTCTGTCTACATGTGTCCAGCGTAGAAGCCCGATTCTCTGATCTCCGAGGAAATATCATAAGTTTGGCTAACCGATTCATATGCATTGGATGCCAGCGTTATTGGACTGAGTGGATGGATTTCAAGAGGTCTCACAAATTACGTAGAGCCATGGACAATAACTTATCAAACGATTAGTGTTCCAAGTTGTTATACACGAGCATTTGTTCACACAAAAACATGTATCCATTGATCCAATTTGTACGACGGGTACGAAACATCATCATCACTTCCAACATTTTCACTTTGGATGGACACTGGGAGAGTTGGTCTGGCTTTTTACCGTATTGGTTTGTTTGTGNTATTGGTTTGTGATTCGACATGGCATTTGAAGATGAAGTAAAGTCAAAATGTACCAGCTGAACGACCACCGACACATGGTTTGTAATTACCAGTTAAAGAAGGCGATAAGGATGCACTGGTAAGCTTAAAGCTTCATAATACAGCCATCCATTCTGGCGTGACTGAGTGGCATTGGGTTACTGGTCATTATCGTGCATTGCGTCTTCGACTACCTGGTTTTGAGCCTTTAGTAGGAGTCTTTATATTAACCATTGGTTTCTTTGTGAAAATAGTGTACACAGGTTTCTTGGCAAGGACGTAACTTGACGTTGACAGGATGGATTAAAAATTTTGCTTTTGGTATTCCTCAACTGAAGACACCGCACATTCCGGCCCTTGTTTCTGTTAACCACACAGTCGATATATAGCGGTATTTTCTTGACAGAACATTGCCCATGCGGTCGAAACGTTCGATAAAACCAGCAGCTGATTTTCCTAGAGCTTTGAGCGAACCCAGTGATTATTCCATTGGGAAATATAGAAAAAGGTCACTTCAATCTGTAATGATGAGAGGGCAGCATTTCAAGCCGAGATAGACGGCCAATTTGAAGCTCCACGTAACCAATAAAGTCATGCAGAGATACCTCAGTGAATGAATTAGTGCCCTTTTCTTTTGTTTTTTGGGGTAATTGTGACAAAAATAGGAAGAACCGCATTGCACACATGCATGTCACCAGCCCATTATATATTCACCAACGCCAAATAATCCACAACTAAACTATGAATCTTGAAAATGTGAGCTTTTCTAAATTCACACCTATTTCATTCGCTCCTAAAAGTTTGGGGTAATATATTTAAATAAAATCCTAATTAAACAACCAGTCTCATGTGTTGAGTCGATCATCCTCATCAGCAACGTGATTCCGAGTGCCTGAAGGGAATTTATTGCACAGTTTGTGATGTATATAATACTTCCGTGTAATTATGCCCGCTCATGTTTGTCTCTCCAGTGAAATCACGACAGACAGCTAGATTTCCTGAAACCATGCCATTACCTAGAGGATTGGATTCAAGTAGGTCCACGGAACTAGACGGTTAGGATACTCACAGATCGAGCGACAAACTGTGCGCAACTGGCGAGATATACCCATTAGTAAATTATTTTGGTATTACCTATAGATGCAGATGCATCTCTCACTTATGGTATTATTCAGCCCAGTCCCCCATGAAATTAAGTGTTTCGCAAACTGTTGAGTTGGAAAACATGGTTCATGGAAGCCCTGAAACTGAGCGTATCTGATGACCTCTAAGAAGAGCAATCCGTTAGTGGGCTGCAGAAGAGCTTTCATCGACCCTGCGATCAGGATGCAACCTAGTATCACGTGCATACCAATGTCGTGCGTTTCTGGGTAGCTTGTGAAAAGTTGCGTGGTGCTTGTGCAATTTTACCATCATTACAGTCCAGATGTCTGTTGATCGCGGAATTGGTTGCAATCCAACTGCATCAAGCACAACTGTGTGTCCAAGAGAAACATTTGCTACCTCTAAACCTGAGCTGGCCTGCAAAAAGTTCGGCACCGAAGATTTATTCAACACCATGTCATTCACTGGATTCCTTGATCCGTTATCCCGTGTACCTTCCACCCCACCCTTACACTTTGCTCTGTTTAAGGGAGATGTACTCGTGATTTTCTCGTAAGCTTCGTGATTGATTTCTAATATCACCACGACTTAATGTCGGTGGCCTGCTTTTCCAGGTCAAACCAAGCATTAAAAACGAAAATTTGTGGGTAGATACTGAGAACCACCCTCTAATCACAGCCATCATACTGGCACCCCTTATCCAGAAGGAGCATGTCCTTATTCGTACTTCAACCGCGAAGTTCAAAGAAGGCGCATTTCTTTAACCCGCCTGTTTAGAGGTCATTATCAGGGTAATTGGAACTACACACTGACGTATTCGAATCACCTTGGAATGTTGTGTACTGCTGAGTATGTATCAATGATAGAGCTTATCCTATTTTGTTCAACCCAAACACGAACACAGGTTTCACTAGAGCTTATGGAAAAGATTTTCGAAGTTAGCTATTTCGTGGCATGTGCCACTCCTTGGTTTAATGCGAATGTAATGCTTTGTGCTTTCTTGCCAGGCGGCTGATTTTTTTCGGTTCACTGTTGCTCACACTTCGTGGTGGCAGAGAGTCATGAGGAGATCTAAAAATCCGACGCAGCCATATTTATCAGAAAGATAGGATATAATTCCTTATCTCCGCTTGTTAACAAAAACTGTGGCGCCAAGGTTTTTCCAGTTAGGATGCAGATAGTTTCGGTATCTGCTTGAGGCTGTGAGAAGTTGCCGCTCTATTCAGTAGGAACTTAAATTCATAATCCAATTGCTAGGTAGCATTTCGTGAAAATTTGTTAACCAGACAAGTTATTTTCGAAACTGAAACTAGCTGAAACTAGGGAAACCACAACGACCACGGTTGAAAGTAAATCTCTTTTTATTCACATTCTTCTGACTTGACGAACATTTTCCGCCACTTTTCTGAAAGTCGAGTTCAGAACTCCTCTAAATGTCAAACGTTAGTCACTGGTCTACTCTCTTGCTCACGGCTATAAGGAATAAATTCTAGGTTCACATCACATTAGTTATGCCATTTTGGCTGAAAAACGGGACTAGAGGTCTGTCGCCAGTCGTCCGCTTGACTAAAACCAATCAGGTGGTGAATTCTAACACTGCTTTAAACATAATGTACCAAGAACTTCTCTATTTAACGACATCTCTTCAAAACCAATGACCTCACGTAACCCCACTGTGTGCATTCCAAGAGCATCGGTCTGTCAGCTGAACGTGCTGCTTCAACATGCAAACTCTATATTTCATTTAAATGTAAGTGCCGTCTACCTTGGATTTCTTGTAATGAATAGAAGAAAGGAAATGAGAACGTTAACGTTGGTCAGTCTGTGTTTAGAAGGAACTCTTGAAGTTCCACCAATGTGGAATTTACTTGAACAATACCTATAGATTAGCAGTACGGAAAATCTCTGCAGAAAGTGATGAGTGATGATGGTTCTTTAGTGGACCATTATGCACAAAGCCTAGCTGTTTTGTGCTCGAAAGGTCAGGTGGGTAAGTGAACGACATAAGTTTAGGTGGTGGTGGCGAATTAATTTAAGCGGAATTACCTTGAGATTGTCGAACGAGCAGAGGGTTCATGACCAAACGATGAACCTAAGAATGGGTGATAATGCATTTATGATTGTTAGGGGAAAACAGCTGACCCAGGTTTTTGGTGGCTCGGCTATCATAACCACTCTAGCAAACAGCTACTTATTAGCACAACTCAACTCAAATTATTGCATCTACGGAATGTCACGCGAATGAACCAAAACAATCCGACCGTCGAACCGGGTTTAACGCAACTCGCAAAACACACCTACGCACCCCTAGCCATGAATCACAGTGAAGAACTCGCTATCAGTGAAGACAGTGGTCATGCAACCACAGTTTGCTTTAGATTCGCGGCTTACAGAATCATAGCACTAAAGTTGTTTCAGCATCAAAAGAACAAAAAGACATCGTGGATAACTGTCCATTGCAGCTAGCATTTCGAAAAGAACTGCTACAACGGCAAGAATTTTGTTTGCATACCGGCATTCTAATGCTACTCTTCTACACTTAATTGCTTAATAAGGACAAATCCTTATCATTCATGATCCACAAAAAGTCGCACTATCTTGAACTACCAAGCACACGTCAGCCTCTAAGCAGTCCAAATAGTTTTCAAGCTACATTTACGCTTGGCCTGCAGAAATATTACTTAAATAGATACATCTACTCGAGCAGAACGTGTGCGCAACCCTGCTCGCCTCCAAGGAATGTTGAGTTCTCCAGCTGGTGATTGACTTTCCAATGATATATCGATAGCGCTGGTATTCGCTGTCTGACTGACGGAAGATCTTTACTGTAACAACACAAAGCTATTCGGGTGCTCGCTCTTACAGCTCTGGTGAACCCCGCATCGGTAACCGAGGCAGAAACGTTACCTTGAAATAGCTGTCAAAATGAACAGGTTCTGTTCTATGCGTACCGTTCACTCACAAGGAAACGTCATACAAAACAAAGTGGTATTCTACAGTAATCAAAACGTGGGCGAATTAGCCTCGGTATCGTAAATAGCAAGCAACGGTCATTGACTTAGTATTGATTGCGAGTAGATAAGCGCCCCGTTTGGTTTACTTAGTGTATCCTTTTGGCCTTGAAATGAGTGACTTATTCCGAAAGAGTTTATCCCCCACGTTGAGTTAAACGTCAGTTTTGAAGTGGTATTAAACTGAATAACTTAGGGTCAAGTGTATGAGTCACGCAAAGAACAAGGTTATTCACGTGGCGATAGTTCTTAGAAGCGTATTGAAGTAGATCAATCCAGGAACATTAGATTTATTCGGAGAGTTCGGAGTTAGGTGTTATCCAGACAAGGAAACTTGACTTAGTTCGGATTTTAAAGTTTAGCGGAAGCAGATGGAAGGTGAATAATGAACTGGTGGTAAAGGTTAGCCTGTGGATGGAGGAAACTGAGAGAATTGATGGCGAAAACGTGATAATGATGGCTTTGTGCACTTGCACTTCGCCATGAGACATAATTAAATAGTCGAACAACGTGATGATGGACAAACATGAAAGATATACTCCGTTTACAAAAGTAGGGCCGTTTTCTTACAACTGAGAGCTACCGGACCTAAAAGTTGGTGGCAACAGGTACCTATCTGCTTCGTTTATATTTGTATCGTAATCTTTAGTTTTCTGTGTTCATATTGTTCACTAGCAACCAGATGGCGCTCCAGAGCAGCTAAAGTGTGATCTAAACTCCGACAGCTGCTTGAATGAAGGACGTATTTACAGGGGCAGAGGGACAATTGACCTGCTGTCGAAAGTGTGTGGCCCCAAAATCTGGGCGCTGGTCTTCCTGTACTGTATTTTGAATATTACCTTTGAGTAACTCACGTACAATAGGTTTATGTGCTGGAACAACTTCCGCACATTCTCAATCGGACTTGCCCTTTCAATTTCTTGACTGCTATGAGTCCACCACACCTCAGTGTTCACACGCAGGTCGCGTTTGAGCTGTTGCCTAATCGATCGTCTTGCCAGACTGTGCCCCTTATCAGATAGGATGCAACGCCTCCAATCAAGAAGTAATACTGAGCGTTATAATGTTAAGTAAAGTTTGTGCGTGCTCAGGAGCACCACAAGCAATTTTCCCGGCACCAAATACAGTCGCAGATATCTCATCTCAGTTGCGGTCAATGTCCTTTCTTAGATCATGTTATAGTATGACACCTGACGGGAACGATGAATAACAAATATGGCCATCTGTTCAAACTATTACCGCTGGTCCTTCGAGTATTGATGAGGACCAGATCAGGATATCTATATATCATGACTAGCTTTGTCAATAAACAACGCCAACTGATCATGGAACCCGAATCGCCTGTCTGTCACCTAAGGTGTTGTTCTTCCAAGGTCCTTTGCACAAATGTCACTTTTTTCAGGGCTGGTTCACTCGAACATGCGTATCTATTGCACTACCTACAAGGACCAATACACTGCCAGTGCTGTCAGCCATCACCGATTCATTTCGGTTTATACAAATGGTGGAACGAACTCCTTGACTAATTCAGGTAACTGCGTTATGCTTTAGGCGTATCGATGTTTGACTTAGTTGCTGAAAGAAAAGCAGAATAAGGCGGCACTTCGAGGAAGCATGCGATTACCTGGGTTGGTATGGTTAGCCAAAGTATATGGTAGAGTTACTTAGTGTATTTTGAGTACCGTCATTTAAAGCACAAGCTGTCGGCACAGGAACTTTTAGGATTTCCAGAACTTTCAATGCAACAATTACGTGTCCAATACCTCGAAGGAACATGCAAACCGCTTTTCTGTATTCCACGTTCTATTTAGAGAACAGTACGGGTATTTCCAACTATGTAATAATTGTTAACGCATCTGTTTGTCATCCACGTTAATCATATGGACCTGCTGGATCACTGTATCATCTACCGATCTGAGAGTCACGTGTTGCACAGTAAACGGAGTAGTTTTTCTCGGCTATAATTGGGTCAGTTCTGGTTTCTCTCTAAAACAGGCTAATATGATTTACATGGATACAAATCGGGTTGTTCTAAGCTTAATAGCTGACCCGTTTTAGCTGATGGTTGGTAAAGATACGATGGACAGAAATTTTCATTTTTTGAGGCCGTACTAAGTTATAAATGGAGACGCAATCTTCAAGCATTTCAGCATCACTAGGTTTCGCATGTTCTTCAAATTTATTAAATGAACTGCGATTTATCGTCTTATTAGCAGTGACATGGGAAACGACAGATAGCTCTGCATGAAGTCACATACTTGTTAATCTACCGTAGAGAATATTCCGTTTTCAGTAATTTTTCCCATGATGCTTTAACCACACGTTACAGCCAACCAGATCTGCTGACTGAGTCAATCAGTAATTAGTCTACGGCTATTCATATCATAAATGCTACATTTGATCAGTGCCACAGCAGTGTTTGTTTGTGAAGGTAAAAGATACATGTCAACAGCAACTGGAGCAACGCAGAAGCCCAAGTGACTGTCGACTGACAGCATAATTTCAACGGCATAACAAGAAGTGTGAGAATGGAAGACTTTTTCAT